TTTTCAATTTTATCTAGTGTATGATACATTTTAATAATTTTTAACAATATTGTAGAATTTTACTAGTTTTATTAAATTATTGATGTAAATAATTAATGTAAAATAGACTACATTCTTATAATTCCATGTAAACTCGGACGTGTGTTTCGAGTATTGATTAATAAAGACTATTATTATTATTAACTACAAAATAGTGATTAAAAAGTGATTAAGAGTTGTATACAACCGGGCCCCAGGTATCTATGTTTCCACTGACCGTTTAATAGAATTTCAAAACAGACCGCGTCCGCTTAATAGAGGTGGCCATTCAATAAAGGTCACTTAAATAGTATTTATATTATGAGATTTTCGGAACTTTCCCACATGACCGCTTATAACAAAGGGTGACCGCTTAATACGGTGACAGGTTCGACTGTATTTTCAGATTTTTCTTTTCAGATTTTTCAATCTCTGTATATTAAATCAAGTCCTATTTTTTATTTCCAGGTCAAGATGATAAAGATATGAAAAAAACGAAGACAATATTAATAAGGAGTGACGGTGAGAAGTCATATGTTGTGATTGATGGTTTAAAGAATAAACACTACATGTTCGCCACTGTCGTTGTGAATGGCGATAAGAAAAGCGACAGAAGTGATTTTACTGAGGGACATCCGCTCTTCATTGAAGGTGAGTCAAAATTAAAATATCATACAGGAATGTAGCACATTGTTTGTCGTTGTTGTCTTGTCGTTATTATTGTCTTGCCGTTGTTGTTTTCTTGCCGTTGTTGTTGTTGCCTTGTCGTTGTCTTGCCGTTGTTGTTGTCTTGCCGTTGTTGTTGTTGCCTTGTCGTTGTCTTGCCGTTGTTGTTGTCTTGGTGTTGTTGTCGTTGCCTTGTCGTTGTCTTGCCGTTGTTGTTGTTGCCTTGTCGTTGTCTTGCCGTTGTTGTTGTCTTGCGTTGTTGTTGTTGCCTTGTCGTTGCCTTGTCGTTGCCTTGCCGTTGTTGTTGTCTTGCCGTTGTTGTTGTTGCCTTGTCGTTGTCTTGCCGTTGTTGTTGTCTTGCCGTTGTTGTTGTTGCCTTGTCTTTGCGTTGTTGTTGTTTTGGCGTTGG